CAAAACGTCTCCTCCCTCATACATCCAGCGCTTCCTGAGAAATCGTTTCTCTCTCCCTCCCCTCAGCACTTCCAGCGGAGCCTCTTCCCGCCTTTCAGCACCTTCAGCATCTTCTCACACAACCCGTCGCTCTCCACTCAGCACCTTGCACAAAAGCCTCGCCTCCCCCCAGCGCGTCCTAGTAAAACCTCTCCCCCTCTTCTCTTGCATTTCCCATTAAAAAAAACCCCTTTCCTCACTATTCCCTCGACTTTCCCGACAAAATCTTTCCCTCTCTCTCCCCTCAGCCGTTACGGCAAACCGCTCCCCTCTCCTCAGATCTTCCCGCCTCACGTCTCGCCCCGGCGCGTGCAAATGAAGCCCTTCTGCCACCCAGCGTTTCCCGCCTAAACGCGTCCCCTCTCTCTCCTCAGCGCTTCCCGAGAAAAGCCTTTCCCCTTCCTTTCCTTAACGCCTGCCTGCCTCCCGGCAAAACGTTTTTTCCTTCTTTTTCTTCGCTGCTCTTCAGCACAGCCCGCCCGTGTTTCTCCTCTCTGCACTCCCCACTGAAACCTGTCTATCTTTCTGCTCAGCCCTTTCTGCAAAAACCTCTTGCCCCGGGTCTCCTCTCAGCCATACTTGCTAAATCTGCCCCGCTGGCTGCAATGCCCACTCTTTTGCTACTACTTATTCTGCAAAGGCACCCTGCAAATCATCTGCTAGTTCTGGGATATCTGGCTAGCGAATTAATTACCTGAATGTGTATGTCTACTTTTACAAAGGGTCTATGGGTCAATGCCCAGAGATCTCCTCTGGAAAACTCTTCCACCAAAGTCAGTTTTGGAGGGGTTTTCTTGGCACATTGTATAAATACTGTACTGCACTGCACTGTGCCATCATTTACATCTCGGCAAAGCAGGCTGAAAATACTGCCAGTGAATTTTAAATGACAAGCCAAACATTGTGATATGAAAATTTCTGCATCAAAAAACATTCTTTCAGGTGAAAACAGAACAAGGCGTTTGGGCAATTTTTTCCCAGATGAGATCAGACAATGTGTAAAGACAGCAGATGCAGTGACCAGACCTATGATGAAGCAATACCAGTCAGGGTATATTTGCTCAGGCTAAAACTGCAAAAGACCCCATCCAAGCATCACTGCTATAATTACTAAGCCTTTAACAGGAATGTGACACAGTTAACTGTTATCTGTCACTTTTTCTCCTTTCTGCCCCCTCTTCCTAGCCTTTCTTTCGGAACATACTGGTGAAATAGAGCAGCAGTTGGCAGTCTTGTAAGACTACAACTCCAGGTCTCCATGGAAGCAAAATACCAGCTTTCACTTGCACCTCCAAATAAAGTCAAGCAGCCTTTCCTTTTATGTACCACAAAAAATATCATAATGGAATTAAGAGAGATTCTTTGCCTGAGGCACAGACTGTTTCCTCCAGAAGATTCGAAGTTGGGGTCAGGCTGAGCTTGAGCTGCTTACATTTGAGCAGTTGTTTTCCTCACATTTAGCACAGGGCAAGGGAAAAAAAGCTTGTTAACGAGCATATCAGTCTCCATTTTAACTGCTGCAGAAATGGATTTGGCTTGATATTTGTACTGGAAATTGCCAGATAAACACAGGACCATACACCACCTAAGAGTGTACCATATGGATTTTTAATACCTAGGTACTTGTATAGTAATACAGAGAATGTGTAGTTGCCTTAGAAACTATTTCCACTTTTTCCCAAATCATTAGGTACGTAACAGCCAGCTTCTTGGCAGTTATAAATCAGCATACTGCCACTTCTTTACTGCTGCCTGGACAGGCCAGGATTGATTATAACTCTACAAGGTACTCCACATGTTTTGGGAATTGCTGCAAATACTGGATAAAGCTTTCTTTAACTGTGCAGTCTCACAAAGGCTTGTGGGAGTCAAATTAATATCGTCTATGTACGTGTAATTTTCCCCATTATTGCCAAAAAGAAATGCCTATACTCATGATGGAGGAAATTTCTATACTCATGGTAGAGGAAAAAACCCACAGTTATCAATGAGTCGGCAGATGTTTTGCTTAATGTCACATAAAATGAAATAGGGAATACTCCGATTTTCTTTTCCAGACACCAAGATGCATCCAATTAAAACTTAATCCACTGAAAATGTATGAGAAACTATGAGATATTGTTTCCCACATCCCATTTATAATGCATGGAAAGGAAAAAACTGATAAAAATAATCCTTTAGAGAGTTACAGAATTTCCTCCATCAGGATTTACATTCTTGTTCTACATATTTTGCTCTTGCTTGTCTATCCTCTGCCCAGCATGCTGTTGCAATGTAATCCACAGAGACAGATGCATGAAGATGTGAGATGACTACAAATAACGTCTCTATAGTCTACTAGGTGCTGGTTTAGCAGGTGACTGTATCCTATCAATACCTGCAGAGGTGTCTTATTGAAGATAGTCACATACAAAACTGTAAATTAAATCTGATGCTCAGTTTCCTCAGACTTATACCAGTGTTACCACAATGAACAGTGCTGGCTGCACACAAAATGAAGTAGCTTGAATTGGTAAACAAAGATTAATTCAGGAGCTAAAGGCAGCTCATTCAAAGGTCAAATAGGGATCATTTATATTCAGAACCAAAGACACCTGGCTACCATAATCAATGGTTTTCAGTCAGTGAGTTTTCGTACAAAATTTCACATCTGGCTTCCTATATCTGAAAGACCGAAGTGATCATCTTGAGTATTGTGCCTCTTTTCCCTGTGCTGTTGGACATGTAGATCACGAGCTCCTTGTACTGGGGTGCTGTGACCTCCTGCTTGATAAGAATATTTTAGGCTGGACCAGATGATCTGTCTAGCCCAAGCCTTTTTTTACAATTATGGACGGAGGTTTTCAAGACAACACTGGATACAGCCCTGAGTAACCCGGTGTGATCTCACAGCTGACCCTGCTTTGAACAGGAGGCTGAACTAGATGACCTCCAAAGGTCCCTTCCAACCTGAATTACGCTGTGATCCTATAGTCTAAACCTCTAGTAAACAAAAATCAAGTATTCAGAGAATAAATCTCTTTTCATTTTCCCATTAATGTTGTCATAATTTTATAGTAGGCAAGGGGATATCATTATGACCAGTCTTTGGGCAGGTTTGCTCACTGAGTCAAACAAGACCTTGAACCATTAAATATTTGTGATGTTTTAATTTCTTTTCATTATTCTCTTAATTTATTAAGGTCAACACCAAGATGCTACAAGGCTCATTATTTACACATTTAATTTTCACATCTGGCAATTCATGACAAGATGAAGAAGAAAACAGTAACACTGGTCGACAGAAGCTGACAGATACACAAAATGAGTGCCACCCTAATAGTCCAGTGCAGAACTGGCTACAGGAAAGACTGACTTTAAACCTTTAAAAGACCCATGACTCAAATTTACTCTGTGTTTAAATTCACTGAACTAAACCACTAGATGCAATTTGTCTCAATGTTCTTAAAAACCGATTGCCTTTTCTTCGAGCAGTCAATCTCCTTAGGGATAAAAAAAGAAAAATTATGACATTGTCCTTCAATATCAATGAATGACACCACCTTTCTGTTACTGCGATGCTAGATATTGTCAGGCTGCTTAAATCAAGTACATAGGCAAGGTAATAAAAAGAGAACACAGTTAAATTTAGAGTCAGCTGCATGGGAGAAAGAAAACAAAGCAAGAATAACAAACAAATGAAAGTTATTTCTGCCTGATGAAATACAGGCCTTCAATTTCTCAGCCACTCTCAAATTATGGAAGGGATTATGAATAGTACAAATACTGCATTTTATTAAGGATTCCATATACTTTCTATATTTACCCTCTACTAGCAAGTTTATACTTCACAAACTACTTTCACAAAGAAAAGCATATGGGTCATTCACCAGTGATAAACATTTACACAAACAGATCACACATGAAACTGAAGTATTTTAATAGCAATACCCCTTTACAGAAGAGCTGTTCCCCTACTTTTGCTTCAGGTGCTCAGTTTAAGTGACATAAAGTCATTTTCTGTTACAGCAGTCAAGTAGATACAAACAACACTAAATAAAACCTAGCTCACTAAATAAACACATCTCAGATGGTAACTGACTCTATTTTGCGTATATATTAAAGTTCAAGTAATGATCAGCCTAAGTTTGTTTTTTTAAAAAAACAAACCACTGAACAAACAAACCAACAACCACTAGTTTCAGAGACAAAAACACTAGGGGAGATACAGTTGTCTATGAAGACTACAAGAACAGTTATACCAATATAATATAAATGGGACAAATTCTCAGCACTAAGGCACAATAGAATTAATACTAGAATATGGCTAAAACCTTACTTACTACAGCATTGAGTGAGCAGTTAACAAGGAGTGTTCCTATGCTCAAAACATTCGGCTACAACATTAGTGAGTTCTGTGTCTAAGACGCTTTTACCTTAGTGTAGCTGCACACAGCGTTCCTAAAAGATGGGATTTCAGAGGGCAGTGATGGTGCTCATTTACATTGTACTTATTTTATAATTAAGGATCCGTTCATACTTGCATAACAAAATG